TGCCCACACGGTGCTGGTACAACAGTAGTAAGAGAAGAAGATGTATCAGTTGCTCCCATTTTCTCACTAAAAGTGCTATTTATAAGAAAGTGGAATGAATTACTGCTTGCCAAAACAACATGGATGAATCTCAAAGTCACATGGAGTGAAAGCAGCCAAATATAAAAGTGTTTTGAAGTCCTATATCGCTTTCACTGTTTTGATTAGCTTTATTCTGTTGTATTTTGTTTGATTTTATTCTCTTAAAAATTAAAAATTAAAAACAAATAAAAATAAATAAACCTGAAAAAAGTGTGTGTATTGTATATTTCCTTCTATATGAAGTTCAAGTACAACCAAAACTTGAGCTTACAGGAAGCAGGGCAATGGTTGCCGCTTGCCAGAGAGTTTGATTAAAATGGGGCAAGATGGGACTCTCTGAGCTACTGGTACCATTTCTCTTGATCTGTCAAAACAAGCTGAAGTAAGACTCATACATTTTACTCAGAGCAAATTACATCCCCAGAAAGGCAAAAAATGGAGGGGGAGAGGAAAGTGATATTTACATTATATAGATGGAGGTGCATAGACACTTTCTGAAATTATGTATAAGAACATCACTGATGGTTGCCTTAGCAAAAGAGTCAGGAGCCAGGAATGAAAGGAAACTGTTCTTTGTATAACCTTGAAATTTCACTGTGTGTATGCATTATTATTTCAATAAAAAACCAATTCATTAAAAAAACTTAATCACTGCTTCAAAAAACAAAAACCAAAAACACACCTGCTCATAGAAAGAAGTTTCTGTCTGGCTGCACCCAGTGACAACATGGTTAAAACAAAGGACTGAGAGCAGGAGCTTCCTATAGCCAAACACCAGAGTTCACAGAGGAGGGCACACCAGAGGTGGAACAGGGGCTGTTTCCACAGCCCACCACCATCAGCTGAGGGAGAAGAGACACATCGCCACTACAGTCCCCTCTGGTTTGGCAAGGCTGACAGGTGGGGAGGAGTGGGGTGGGGATGTAAGAACTGCAGAGAGGGGTGTCTCAGGCCTTGAGCCTCAAATCTACTCAAATCTACCCCAAATCTACTCAATCAGAATCTGCCATCTAAGAGCCTATACTCTTTTAACATTTTATTATGAATCTTTTCAGATACATAGAACATTGTGCAGAAAAATCCAATACATGATATCAGATTCAGCAACTGCTCCTATTTGACTATATGTGCCTCGTCTCTTTCTCTTTATTCATTTAACTGAACCATAAAAAGTAAATTATTGATGTAAAACAATGATATTCAAAGTATGGTCTGGGGATTCCTTGGGGTATTCAGACACTTTAAGAAGATTCATAGCATCAGAAATATTTTCTCTAATAACCTTAAGCTGTTATGTGACCTTTTCTAAGTGCTTTCTCTCATCAATGGACAGTAGAATCTCCAGAGGTAACATGACATGTCACAACAGATCAAATGTAGAAGCAGTTGTGAAATTAATATATAATTCAACTATCTTCCATTCAGCCATACATTATAATGGTCAAGAAATGTTTTACAAAAATTATGAAAAAAATAAATTTTTGCTATCATGACATTTCTAAATACTTCAGTGTACACCTCCCAATATGACTCTTCTCCATATGTACATGCATTAGCTATCTATTGCTGTGTAACAAATTGCCTTCAAACACAGAAGCAGGAAACAAACATGTCCTATCTCACTGTTCCAGTGGCAGGAATATAGGAGTGGCTAAGCTTGGCCCTAGACTCAAGGAGTCTCACAGACTGCAGCCATGCCAAAGCTTACCTAGGGCAGAGATCTGAATCTCACCTACTCATGCCACCCACTGACAGGTTTCAGTCTCTCGAAGCTGCAGGGGAACAGGAACCTCAGGTCCTCACCACACCCTAGAGTGCTTTCCACATGCCAGCTTTCTCCTTTTGTGTGACTGACCGAACGACAGAAATGATGCCCAAAGAGGACACCGTAGCCCATGCCATACCTTCATCATAGAGCGCTATTCCTCCCCTCATCCCCACCTTATGCCTGCAAATTGAATCAAATCACTTCACTGTGAATTGAGGACTAGTAACAGGAGTTGCTTCCCACTGTCAACACACAGTTTACTGAGGAGAGAGAAGGGCGAGGTGGGGGAGAGGCTGCTACTTTTCAGACAGGGACAGAGGGGAAGAGCACATCATAGTCCTGGTCCTGGGAGTCAAGGGAATATTTTGGCCCTTTTAACACCTCCTCTTGCCCACGCCTGGTAACAATGTCCTGCACCTTGTAATGCCACTACCATCACGGCTTCATGTCTCCCCAGAGTTTTCCAGCGTGCATACCTTTTAATTTCCATATGCCCCACCAAAATCCAGGGAAGCAAGGCGGGCAAGGACGACTGGACCTGTGTTATACATCTGGCAAGGGCTCTGAGAAATCAAGGGAGGCAGTCCCAGGGGCTCACATAAGCGTCAAAGCCACACCTTGAGACTCATGTCCTGTTCTGAGGCTTCAATGTGCCGTCCTTACCACCTGAGGGAGTGTCAGGTGGTTATTCTATGGGCGGTTCATGTTGTCTCCCAGCAGTGTGGAGAATGCCACCATCCCACCTTGCCACATTTGACAATAAGGCAGTGTGTGACATTTCATCATTAGAGCACCTCTGAGCACAGACTGTTACAGATGAGGAAACCACCTCTCAGATGCAGGTCTGTTCCAGGCTGAGACTGCAGACATATAGAACACACTCAGGACTGCTGAGCACAGGTGTCTCACGGGTTTCATCCAGGGCCTCTCTCTCTCTCTCTCTCTCTCTCTCTCTCTCTCTCTCTCTCTCTCTCTCTCTCTCTCCCCAACACTTTCCTTTCTGCCAGGCTGGTGCCCTTGGTACAAATGGCATACAAACAGCCCCCTCTGATTTTGACAGAAGTTAGCTCTGAAACTCTGCTATTAAAAGGTCTTCACACTGCATTTTCCAATATATATGCCACTAGGAAAAGGAATCAGATTTTTAATCAAAGACTCCACATTGAACAAATCATAGAAAAGTGAATTCTACAATACTGGAGCCAGAAGAGCATGCAAAGATCATCTAGGTCCTGGAGTGAGCTTGATGATAGAGCACGTGCCTGGCTTCCAGCCCAAGCACTGCTAAAAGAAGGAGAAAGAGGAAGAGGAGGAAGAAGAAGAGGAGAAGGCAGAGGAGGAGGAGAAAGAGGAGGGGGAAATGAGGGAAAGCAGAGGAGACAGGGAGAAAAAGAACATCTAAATCAGTAGTTCTCAACCTGGGAGCACTGGAGTCCTCAAAGGACTTGAGGAAATTTCTGGTGGCATTTTCGGTTGCCATGACTGAGAAAAGGAGCTTGGCATCTAGTAGCCAGAGACCACAGATGCTGCTAAACATCCTACAATGTACAGGTCAGCCCCCATGACGGATAGTTGCCCAGCCCCAAATGCCAACTGTTTCAAAGTTGAGATGCCCTAATCTAAATCCTTTTGTTACTTTGAGCATAAGAAAGCAGAGGCCTAAGGATACAAAGTGGATTTTCCAAGGTTACATAGCCACAAGGCCAGAAATGGAATCTAAGTCTCTGTTATGTCGGCCTCTGTCATTTGCTTTGCTCTGTCTAGAATTGGGCCAGGGAAGAAGGGGGCAGGACTGGAGCATCTTCATTCTCTCTCTTTTTTTTTTTTTTTTTTTTTTTTATGCTGGGGATGGAACCCAGGATCTTATGCATGCTAAGCATGCATTCCATCATTGAGCTATATCCCTAAATGCTTTTCATCCTTGTAGCCAACCTGAACCAAAGAAAGAAAATTGCAATAAGTAAATAAATGACTGAAGCACTCTGGTAATACATGGGAATATTCCAAACTAAACGAAATGCCTTCTTCACAGTCAATGAAAACAGCACTGTTTTACTATGCCCCTTACAGTGCCTGATGCTGGTTCAGTCATTCATGGTGTGAGTTTCAGTACAGTTTACTGATGCCTCAGCTTCCAGAAGGGTAGGGTTTTCAGAATGGCATATTCCCCTTCTAAGAGTGCCCACATATGTCCTGGCTACAGGCCAGGAGAAAGAAATGTAAACAGGGTCAGCAAGATTCTATCCACTCCCCCTACACACACACACACACACACACACACACACACACACACACACACACAGAGCCATGCTGGAACTGAAGAGTCACCTGACCTCCTCCATCTGCACCTGAGTCATCAGGCCTCTGCTTCAACAAGCTAATTATTCAGCAAGGGAATTAAGAACTCTGGAGATTCTTAGGGTTTAGTGTTATTTCCACCCCCATGCCCCACTAAAGGCCATTTTGTTCTTAGAGAATTGGCAGTCTCTTACTCTGGCATATTATATTTAGAGGCTATATTTTATTTCATTTTATTTGATTCTGTTATTTTGAAATCTCCTGAAAATACCTGAAAGAAAAACACATTCGAATGTTGGAACCCTGCAAAATAATGCAAAATGATTTACATAGCACCTCTGGCCCATAAATTGCTAACCAAGAAGCTGCCAACCCCCAGTCAGCTTTTGCCTTGAAAGAAATCAGGCTAAAGGTGGAAAACAAACCCATGTAGGGAGAATAGGTAATATGTTATCATTTAAGAAGCACAATGGCAATGGGGAAACAACAGTTGATGGTTATGTTTTTAAAGTCTCTCTCTTTCTCTTTGTGGTCATTCCAGATTTCTACCCCTCCCCCCCTTCTGAGCAAGAGCTCCTGTCTTTCTAGCTGGCCCCAACCCACCTTCACGAGGTGGGTCCGGCAAGACCCAAGTGACGCGTGGACTTGCACCAGGCCACTCCCCGCCTGGTGCAGCAGCAGCTGCAGCAGGCGGGCAGCTGGGGGCAGCAGGCACCACAGCAGCTAGAGGTCCCACATTCCCTTTGGCCTGGCGCAGCAATGCTCAGGCCTACAGACCAGGCTGGCAGTCCACCTGCAGCGCCTGGCCCGCTGGGGGCGCCGGGAGGGCATCTGGGCGCTGCGGGCCCCTTACCTGCAGTGCTGCATCGCTCAGCGCGGCCGCCCACCTGGACAGCATCCTAGAGCATCCTTTCTTCGGCACGATGGCTGCGAACGCCGTGACGTCAACAAAAGGCGGGCCCCCAAGCTCCCACGTGACTCTCTGGCGGCGAGCGGGAGGTAGGTGGAGGAAAAAGCCCCCGGGCGTCTCAGGAGGTGAGCGGCTAGTGGCCAGAAACCTCACTCTGACCTCCCTTCAGGGCGTTCAGCTTGATGTGTTCAGTGTGCCTGGCCTTTCACGAAGAATTATGGGAAACAAACAGCACACAGAAGGAGAAATCCAAGGTATTACAGGCTCCGAGCATGAAATAGGATTTCTAAAAAAAGAACTAACAATGATAGGATTATAGTGAAAGGGTAATACAATTCAGTGTTTTATTGTAAAACCAGTATTTATCAAACGCAGTAGGGAAATATATGTTGTGCAAATCAAAATGACACTTAAAATGTAGCATGCATGGGAATACCTTGCACAGAAATTCAGTGTTTCCAGTTGTATGTCAAATGCTACATGGAACACTTAATTCTAAGCAATTCATTATTCAATATCATACTAATTACACTGATGAATATAGCTTTAATTACTCTCACTAGCAGCATTCCATTATTAATTTGTATTTACCAAAGGAAAAAATAGTGACAACATATCAATACTACTTACTTTAATATTTAATTATTTAAAATAAAGCACCATTACATGAGCAAAATTGTATCTGGATCTGTATTTATTATCTCACATCTTCTGGTAAAGCACTTAATCTTCCAAGCATGAAAGACTCATTATTTCCCATTGTCTAATTTGTATCACATTCTGAAGTGAGTCATTTTACTACTGCAAAAATATGTACAATGTCAACATTTCTCATTTACAACAGAAACAGCTTTGCGTACAAAGCCTTAGAAAATTCCAACTGTGCTAATTTCATAAGTTTGACATAGTATGTTTCAAACTGAACTGCAGCAATATAAACTTTTTTTTGCCATACCACATAAACGGTTTTGAAAAGTAAAAGTACAAAAGCAGAAACTGTTTTATTTGTATTCCAGTATCATCTAGATTATTTACCTTCACTAGACTTTAAATCACTACATTATCATTTTCTTTGCTCACACCCCCGAAGGGATTGTGAAATAGTTTTCCAAGCGGGTTGGAGTTGAGTTTACTTGCTATTTATTCCAGCAGCTTTCGTGTCCTACATTTAACCCCGGCCCTTTTACCACCATCCCTCCAGATTAACCAAATTTCTGTTCAGAAATTCGATCTCTAATTTGGGGATAAATACAGCCCTTGCCTCTCAAAGAGATCTATTATTTTTAAGACCAAAATTTTAAATCGACAAAGTGGCAGTGGCTTTCTTGGTCACTCTTGTCAGGCTTATTTTTCTGAATGATAAACAACTTACCTTTCGCTGTCAGATTCCTGAGATAACAAGTTAAAATGCTAAGGCGATCCTGCTCTTTTGTGTTGAGAATCTGATGCAGGCAGAAACCAACAAATTCATTTTCTTGCCAGAGGCAAATGTGGATTTCAGCCTCAGGCGCCCAGAGGCCCAGGAGGCAGGCTGGGAGTGTCACGTGTCTGGGCCAGCCACTCAGCCCAGCCCAGTCCACCGGCTCAGTCACCTCTTGGCTCCGGAGCCCGCGGTGCCACTGTCCTTAACCTCCTACCCTTGGTGCAGTCGAGTCTAAAAAAAAATCCAGCTTTCCCCAGAGAGGTCGTCCCGCCCTCAGAGGCTTGGCCTGCCACTGACTGCAAGGATAAGAATTCTCCAGATCAATGGAAGCGGGGGTGTGTAACATCGCCCCTGCAGCCAGAGGAGAACAATAAGAACAACTTGGCTCTCTTTTTGCTTGACTGAAATGACTAAATACAGTACTTTCTTCAGGCTTCCCCCACCCGAAATCACGTTAGTTTCACATTCTCTTTTTCCAAGTGGTTGCTCAATTGCAAATATATATATATATATATATATATATATATATATATATATATATGCCTTAAATGGGCCACGCAATTTTCTACAGAAAGAAAAAATTATTTCAACAACCTCAACCCTCACCCATCAAATGTTCAATTTGGTAAACGTTAAAAAAACAAAAACAAAATGCAGTACCTCCCATGGAATGTAAATTGAATCGTGTTTCAAGGGCAGGGCTGGTAAGCAATTCCTAGCAAAAGGCTTACAAAACATGCATAATTTGACCAATTATTCTGGGTCCACAACAGCTGTGTATATCATTTGCTCCAGTTATTTAGGTCCAGGAATTTGCCCTGGGTGGGTGAAGGGAGTACAGGTATTCAAAGAACTAAGGAAAATTTGACGAAATAATTATAATCTCAAAGCACGGGAAGCAATTTAAATCTCTAAAACTAGAGGATTTGCTAAATTATAAAGTAACAACACATAGCAAAAATATAGTAATACGGTGGTTGATACTTATGGATGAGAAAAGACATTTGTAGTGGATTAATTTTTTAGTTGCAAAGTGTTACATGTGAAGTGATCCATTTTTTTGTGCTCAAGTGTAATATATTTCTACCTACAAATATACTTTCATATATAAAGAAAGAAAATACTTGGGAAAGGGATTCACTACAGTATCAAGTGTGGCATTTCACTGGTTAGTGGGATTAAGGATTCAATTTTTTTCCTTTTTTTAATGTTGCTACACAATCTAATTTTTCACAATTAGCACATACTGATCTTGTAATGAGAAAAAGTTTTCCATAAAACCACCATAGCAGACATGGTCATGGAATAAACATTTTTAGCTAAAATCACTTGACGAGTTTCAAATCATAACCCCAGAACACACACACACACACACACACACACACACACACACACACACACATACACACACACACACACACACACACAAACAATCCCCCACCAAAAAGAAAAAGAAAGAGAAACAATCGCTAGCCTACTATATTATTCTGCTCATAACCATCCTCGGGAAAGAAGATGCCCTTCTAGAAGGGCATAGGTAAAAGTTTAATCATCTTGTTCTCTCTCCTCCCCTTAAACCCACATCCTGCTCTCCCCTGTGTGGAACTAGGATGTTAGTCCTTACCATCCCCTTCATGAGAAGATTATGCAATAGTTATGGAATAACCATTGACTTTTAATTTCTCTATGCTGGCTCCTGTTTTCTTCACATTTTTTAACTCTTTGGATCCTCCACATTTTTCCTCTTAATTGTCTCTCACTTTTCTATAAATGTCGCACAAGGTTTAGAACAGTAGATTTTTTTTTTAAAACTGGGCCTCTCTTTGTAGTTCTGGCTGGCCTAACTCACACTCACTATGTAGCCTGGGTTGGCCTCAATCTGGAGGAGCCTCATGCCTCAGCCTCCCAAGTGCCGTGATTACAGGCATGTGCTGCCACGCCCAGCAGAGCATGCTGGCTCCTAAGGGAGATGCTGCTGCTCTCTTTCTTTGCTGAGATATAGTTTCAGCTGCCACACTTGGGGACTGGGGGGCGGGCAGCAGTGTGCTCTGGGCACTCAGTAGGTGAGGATCAGGGATGCTGCTGAAAATGCTTCTATACACAGGTCTGTCCCCCATGATGGTGAATGATCCAGTCCATCACTAGGGCTGAGTTTGAAAACCCTTGATTTAGAATGACTTATAAAGTATAATTTGATGCCCAAAATGTTCCATTTCCCAGCCACTTGGCAGCCTTCCCCATTGTATAATGTGCTGGAAGCTCTGCTCCTCATAAATCCCTTAAATGTAGTGCGCTGGCGTGTGGGAGTCTAAGTGCAGGTCTGTATGCACACTACTGCCAAAAAGAGACACAAGGAAAAGCTAAGGGGGCTTTCTCTAGAGAGGAGTGTGCAGCGACTCAGGCACAGAGGTGGGTGGGAAATATTCATAGGTTTGGAATGCACTAAATATTTCTAAACCCGACGTGTTTCTTAAGCACTCTTAAATTCATACAGCAAATGTGCAGCATACAGAACACATTGATGCTCAAAATGTCATTTAATTCGGTGGGGGGGGGTGTTCACAACAATACAGCAGGGATAATGTCCTGTCCCCATCTTGCAGACAGGCTTACAGACAGCCATGACATCGATATCAGATTGAGTTCTATGTGGGCGTACCCTGGCTTCTCCTCCGGACTCTGTCCCTGATTGTCCCTTTAACCCTTATGTTGAGCCACAGGACCCTGGGACCCTCACTTAGCACTCTCCAGGTTCTATCCAAATCACTTGGTAGCAGTAAGCCCTGAGCCTGGAAAGGGCTTCATTTACTTGACTTTACATGCCAATATTTAGCTCCAGATTGAGGCCAACCCAGGGCACAACCTTTGCTATTCCATAACTAAAGTCCCCAAATGTTCTCAACCAAAAATTAGCACCTGTCGTCATACACCACCTTGGTGTGTTCCGTGACTCTATTACTATATTACTGCCAGTGCTGTTTAGCCATGCCTTTGCAAGTCTTCATTTTCCCTTCTGGAAAACAGCAGAGAGGGAGGAGGAGTAATAAGTGGTGTCCACCTTTTGGGGCGGGGGAGTATTGTGAGGCTTAAATGAGCCAGCTAGAAACAGGAAGCAGTACTCTATTGGATCCTGGGACACAAGGAAAAAGGTGGACCGTTATATACAATTTTCCAAATAGTCTCCAAGATTTCAAACCAAGTAGAAGTTAATAAAAACTCTACACAACACATACACACACACACACACACACACACACACACACACATACACACACACACGCACATGCACACACACACACACACAAATACGTATTACATATAAAGCCCACATTGCCCAGTTTATTTGTGTGTCATTGTCAACCCACATAAATCCACTTAGGGGAACCAGTAAAACCTGGCTAATTGAACATGGCTACTATCCTTGCCCAGTAATACAGGGACCTCAAACAAACAATAGTCTTGTTTTTACATTTGATATTTTGTGCATTGCAAATTTTTGCATTAATTTTATTTTAATAAATACTGTATTATCTTGATTACTGAGTTTTTGGTACTTTCTTAAATTTTGGTCCCCCAAAAAGGTCTTTTTTTCCCCCCTGGTACCGAGGATTGAACTCACAACTTTGTGCTTGTCAGGCAGGCACTTATGCCACTGAGCTAAATCCCTGGCTAAAAAATGTCTTTCTTGCCGCCTCCAAATTTCAGCCCTTAATATTTGGTAAATTATCCTGTAACTGTGAGTTTTCTAAAACCTGGATGTGAGGAACCTACTTTATCTTTGTGCCCTGAGCTTATTACACCTGAACACATTGTTTTGAATGAATGAATGAATTCCTCCTTCATCTAGCTAGATGTGATGCCTATTAGCCAATGTCAAAAAAGATTTGGGGAGTAAATAAATGGCATTGGACATAAGACCAGCCCTTCCGGAGCATTCTGAGCTGTGTTTACAGGTCACAGTGGACTTCTAAAAGCTGCACACTTGGATCAAATTACTCTGCCATCCACCCAAAGGGCCACCCTTGGCTGATATGATGAGCAATATCTTTACTATCCCTCTGTGTTTTGCAAGGGAGTTGTTGCCAAATGTCTAATTCATTCTAGAAGAGCTAAGAAAGTATTCTACATAACTCTCAGGGATTAAAAAAATAGTCTTGCTTCCTCTAAGAAACTATATGGGTTTTCCTTCTCTGTCATCCTCTAAGAAACTATATGGGTTTTCCTTCTCTGTCAGTAAGAACTGTGTGGTTGTATCTCTTTTTTCTCTTTGGGTATCGTGAACCACAAGATTTTTCCAAGGCCACTCAGTAGGCCCATCTGCTCAAATTGGCAGATGCATGGTGGTGTGCTGGTCAATGTCAAACAACCCAGCTCTCAAAGGGTAGATCATGCTGAGCCTTGATTTATAACATGTGCTTGTTCCTGTGGTGTAAACTCTCCTCCATGGCCAGCTTCACATTACTGAACAGAGAGTTGAAGAACAATGCACAGTAGCCATGATTATATAGCACCTCCACCTGACATGGACCACTGAAGTAATTTGTTTCTTTGTAATCAGACAAGCAAGAGCCTCTGTCACCCTGAATTTGGCCTTTGAAAACAGCTGTTATTTGTCTTGATGCTTTGCATTACAAATATGATCCTTCTAAAATATCACTGACCAAATATAAGCGCCACCACCCACAACTGCTATTTATGTTGAAATTAGTTTAAAGTAAAATTTCAGTTCCTCAGTCACACCAGCCACGTGTTGAATGCACGAGGTCACATGTAGCTAGTGACTACAACTTCGGGTGCAGACACAGAACAAATCCATCATTGCAGATAATTCTATTGGATGGTGCTGTGAAGCATTTCTGCTAAACTAATTCCATTGAGAAAAAGCTAATTTCATTGCTTATTAACCTTGGGATTTTGCCTATAACTGCAAGGTGGAAAAGAAAGTCTGCCCAGCGTTTCTATTGGTGGGAATCATAGAAAGGCATGGGTTTCAAAAGGTTGTGTGCCTCTAGCCAGAGATCTCAGGGAAAAATGCTTCCAAAAGCTGCAAAATGGGGCAGCTTCTGCCTTTGTCTTTGCTGGAAGTCTACAATCATTGTCAAGAAGAAAGGGAGCAACTAATGAGTCGTTTCAAAGCAAAAATTGTGATGCAAGGAAGAGGGTATACATTCCCCAGTACAGAAACAGG